ACTAGTTTTATTTAAGAAAGGACTTGTATCGCTAAAGTTCATCGGAGAGAAATTTTACGGGAAATTAACAAAAACCAGAGACTTAACAATGTTGTTTAGAATCGTTTCATGTCAAAGTTTGTATTATACGTTTGTTTCGAAGTATTTATATTATTTGATGTTAGAATAATATTATATCTATCGTAAGTTGTATTTCCAATTCAATAAAAATAAAGACTAGTTTTGTATTCTATCTCACATCAACAAACTTTCGAACAAATTAATTCTCTCAGTCCACCAATTCGTCAAATCATAACTATAGCAATAACAACTACCTTGTTTATTAGTCTAAGCCCGGGCGACTGGAGTTTAAACTTATTACATGTAATATTTATCAACCATCTTCCAGTATTACCAAAAGTTCTCGATGGTAGGCCCCATGAGCTAATTATCCACATTTATAACTAAGGTTTGTTTCAAACATGTATAAAGCAAGTCGTCTGTAGTTGTTATACACTCCAAAGGAAAATCCCATGTTTTAATATCCTGATTATTTTCAAATGTCGGAATTCTGTTCTTTATCTTCATATTCAGTTTTTCAATTTTCTAAGTTATTTAGGAAAATACGTTCTGTGAACAAAGTTAAACAAGCTGGAAAGAAGGGTTTATGAAAATGTTTACACGAAAAGGATATATGTCTGGAAAATTTATAAAATACGAATATTTGTTTTTAATCCTTTATATAATTAAAGGCCAATAATGGTTTTATAAGACTTTATGTGTCTAAAGCTTAATGATTTTGTGAATATTGTTGTGTATCTGCTTGTTTGTTAATTTGCGGTATAAATTCTTTCCGAGGAACTTCAGCGACACAAGTCATTTCTTGATTAAAACTAGTTTATTGTTTCTCGTTACAAACTTTTAGTCATACCCAGAATTTCCACAATCACTTGAAACTTAACAAACATTATATCACACGCTATAAATCACAGTGATTCACACACTTTACTTACGGTGCCTACTGGTCGCTTGACTCAATTATCTATATCTGCAATCGCGCTTCTTTTTCTCGCCAGGCTTATGTACATAAAAAAGGGCGTCTAGCAAACACTCGGACATTCGCAGGGTTCCCCGATAATTCTAGAGACTCCATCGCGCATGCTCCCAGCGTCACGCAACTTCCACTGTCGTAACAATATTAACATATGAAGATAGCTAATTGATGTATAATGTGAAAAAAAACAGTTAA